TGTCTCAGGCTGGGAACTGGCTGTACCTGGGATTTCTCCCCCCCGCCCCCCCCCCCCCAGCTCCCCTACTTAGACTGCTGAGTTTCTTATCTCCCAAGCTAGCTACAGGAGCAGTTTTTATCTCCTGGTTTTGTGTGTGTGTGAGAGGCTTCTCAGAATGGGGCCCAGGGTACCAGAACTCCCATGGCAAGGCCTGGGGGGTTCTCTCCCCATATGCCCTGTGCCACTTTCTTCATTCTGGACCCTTACCCAGGGGGCGCCCATGGACAAGGCCTGCCGCCAGAGCCTGAGCTAGGACCACTTCCCAGGGACTGCCCAGGCCCCCTCTGCTCTGACCCTTCTGCTGGCAAGTCTGGGCATCCGGTGAGTGCTCGCCCTAGCCCAGGCCCGGGTCCTCACCCCAAACAGCAGACCTGGCTCCAGAGCTGGGCCTGCACATGGGGGACGTGCCAGCACACGCCTGCCTGGCTTTCCTTGCCATCCAAAGGGAAAGCTGTCTGATCTGGTGCCAGGGCGCCTGCCCTGCACGAGCGGGAAGTGGGAGGGGGATCGTGAGGGGGTGGGCTAGGAGCTTTGGGACAATGTGGTCTGTCGGGCCTGTGTCCCTGCTCCCCCAGTCTTCCTTTCAAGTTTGCTCTCTGAAAGGGGAAGAGGATAGGGACCTGGGAGTGAGTCAAAGAGGAACCGAGGGGGGATGGGGTAACCCTGGGGACAGGACTGGGCATCGGGGAGGGGCCAGGGTGGTTGTGGGAAGGGCTGTGTCCCCACATGCATGGTGAAGTATTTTCCTAGAAAACTGGCCAGGAATTAGGAAGCCCCTGGGCAGTGACTGGAAAGGAAGGTTCAAGGGCTGCCAGCAGAGAGGCTGGAGTCTGGGGTGCCTCCAGCAGGGCGCAGGCCCTCCAGAGCCCACTCCTGCTGTGAGCGCAGGGGCTCCCCCAGAGGGTGTGAAGGTCAGACCTGCAGAGAGGGGCCTGGTGTGGGGGAGGCATCTCTGGCCTGGCTTCTGTCCTCTTCCCTGTGGCTCTTGCTGCTGCTGCTGCTGCTGCTGCTGCGTATCTGTTTGTTTTGTGCCCTCCCTCCTCCCCTTCCCTCCCCTCGCCCTCTTTGCTTTGACTCCTGCTTCCCTCCTCCTGTCGCTCCTTCCATTATCGTTTGTTGTCTGTTGTCGTTGTCCCTGACTGCTCTCATCCTCTTCCTTGCCTTCTTTGCCAGTCTTTCCCTCCCTCTCCCTCATACTTCCTCCTCCTCCTCTCCTGCCCGCCACTCTCCCGTTTCCCAGCTTACAAACTGCTTCAGCTGCTGGATAAAAATAGCGGTGGCCAGGCGGGGAGCCAGGTAGAGCCTGAGCAGGCAGGGGGCCCGACAGGGCTGGTCAGAGGGGTCAGATTGAGCAGTCCTCAGGGGCAGGGCCAGGAGGGGGTCCTTGTGGACTCTCCGGCTTGTCTGCTCTGTGAACCCTGCCTGCCGCCTACCCCACAAGAGTCTAAAGAGGCCTATGGGGAAGCAGGGCCAAGACGTGGCCTCACACTGCTTCTGCCCCCAGCAGACGCCAGGAGGAGGGAGTTATCGGCCAGACAAAACTGAGAACGCCGTCACCATGACAACCAGTCACGAGCCTCAGGACAGGTACTGGGGGACCTGGGCCAGGGGATCCAGGGGGGTGGAAATGGGTCTCCAGGGGGCTGGGTGTGGTGTCCTTTGGAATTTGGGGTTTCCACTGCTGCCTGGTCTTCCAGCAAAGTAGCTATGAGTCAGGCCTGCGCGAGGGGTGGGGACCATGCATGTCTTAGCCGGGGGGCCTGTGGGGAGGGCCAGGATGGGTGGGCGGCAGCCCCTCCCTGGCCTCTCAGTGTTTCCACTGTTGCTCTCCAGCCAGCCAGCAGCTTCCAGCTCCTCCTCCCATCACTCTGGGGAAATCATTGGCGGCACCCCTAGTTCCGGAGCACATCTGGCAGAACTGCCCTCTCCCTCAGGCCTGGCCCTGCCTCAGATGACCCTGGCCCACCCTGGTCCTTGAACTGACCTTCCTCTCATTTCCCCGCCTCTGGAGCCTATACGCTCCTTTCAGTTAGACCCACAATGGTGATCATGCATACGTATTTGCGGGGGGGAGAGGCTGTAGCCCGGTTTAAGCCCTCCAAGGAGTCTAGGACCCAAGAGAGTCGATGAAGCCATGCCTGTGGTCCAAAACTCCTTCAGCCCAGGCCCCCCAACCTCATCCCCTCTCCGCTGCCAATCCGGTCTCCCTCGTGTGCCAGAGGCCACAGAAGTAGGCCACTTCTGGCTGTGGGACCTCAGGTACTTAGCTTAATCTCTCTGGGACTGTTCCCACCTGTAAAATTGAGGTAGGGCTTATTTGAATGGGAGGGAATTTAAGGAGACATAGTAAGTACAGGCCCCAGGTTGGTTCTGTCCCTGTCTCCTCCATTTCCAGGCTGCCTGTCCTATCAGAGTCTCACCATTGGTAGCAGTTCTGTGAACCCCTCTCCCATCTCCATGTATTGGCACCCTCCTCTAGCCCCGCTCTGACAATGTATTCTGCACAACCATGTCTGGGAACTTCTCCCTTCATTCGGGACCTCTGAGTCGAGCCTTTTAGCTGTGTACTTCAAGGTCCGGAGGATAAAAGGGAGTGGGGGCGGAGGGAGGCTGCATTTGCAGTGGCTCAGACCTCCCCACTTGGGGCACTCACCCAGGCCTTTCCTGTGTGAGGCCGGGCCCTGTACTCTAACTGGACCTGTTTCTTCCCTGCCTTGGACTTTGTCTCTGCCATCTCTGTGAAGAAAGCAGGCGTTAGCTGTGGGGAAGATATGACAGACACATCTGGAAACCACAGTAGGAGGGTTTGGGGCTCCCTGGGGAAGGCTGGCCATCCCAGACAGGCCCTGAAGTGTAGGGCTTGGGGCAATGCCCTGGCCGAAGCTAGGGCGGCACTTATTTACTATTTGGGGCCCAGATGACGTCCAGTGGCCTGATACTCCTGGCCTACCCTATGTGGTGTGACCTACAAAGCTGGTTTTGTCTGGGCCAGGGAAAAAACAGCTCCCTCGCTTCCCAGCCACCCCAAGTCACCCCGCCCTCCTATCCCACTAGGTCCAGAATGGTCTGGGAGTTTCTTGACCTCAGAATCCTCTTTGGGGAACCACACAGTCCCTACCCAGACAGCATAATCACTTCCAGCCTGCCCAGTGGGGGTGGGAGACACTTGCTGTTTGCTTTCTCCCTCACCCGCCTACCCCCAGCCTTCAGCAAGATTTCCAAAACCACCTCCGGATGTGTGGGTCACACTGTTTCCCAAGCCTGCAGGGTCCCCCGAGTCTTCAGGGCTGAGAACCAAGGTCCTGTTGGCCATGCCTTTCAGTCCTGTGTCCCTGACCCTACTCTCCCTGTGGACATATCTGTGCCCTTTTCCCTACCCTTGGACACTTCCCCTTCTACATAAACCCATAGGTGGACTTGTACACATGGGCACAGATGCCTGTGCCCTGGGACAGTTGGAGAGACCGAACGTTGGGGAGGGAGGAGCTCTTAAGTTTGATCTGCGAAGGAGGGTGGAGTAGTGGGTCACTAGGCCCCTCTTTCCTCTCCTGTCCTCAGGTACAAAGCCGTCTGGCTTATCTTCTTCATGCTGGGTCTGGGGACGCTGCTCCCGTGGAATTTTTTCATGACAGCCACTAGGGTGAGACTGGGGGGACTGGGCTCCAGGGGGACATGTCCACTGGGCATGTAGGGCATGGATCTGTTCTTGGGGGCCCCGGGAGAGAAGTCTCACCGCTTCTCTCTGCAACCCACACAGTATTTCACAAACCGCCTGGACGAGACCCAGAATATGTCCTTGGTCACTGCTGAAAACAGCAAGGACTTCCAGCCCTCAGCCACCCCCACAGTACCCTCCCCAGAGCGGAATTATCTCAGTGCCCTCTTCAACAATGTCATGACCTTATGTGCCATGTTGCCCTTGCTGTTTTTCACCTGCCTTAACTCTTTCCTGCATCAGAGGTGAGTGTCCAGGCCCCTGGCCTGACCAGCCCCCGCCACCCCCTGCTGCCTCTTGTTCTCCCTGTGCTGAGCCCGCGGCCTCACCTCTTGTCCCTCTGCTGCCTCGGCCTAGGATCCCCCAGTCTGTTCGGATCCTGGGCAGCCTGATAGCCATCCTGTTGGTGTTCTTGATCACTGCTGTCCTGGTAAAGGTGCATCTGGATGCCCTGTCCTTCTTCGTCATCACCATGATCAAGATCATGCTTATTAACTGTAAGCAGGGCTGGGAGCAGGCCTAGGGCAGAGATCTTCCTGGATCCCCCCACCCTTCTTTCAGAAGCACAGTCAGCCAGGAAGGAGCCCATTCCTCCCGCTGGAGGAAATGGATACCGTAGGTAGTCAATGATTCAAAAGGCCAGAGCTGACATGGACCAGGGCTGGGAGTAGGGGCAGAGAGTGTCATTTGGTGTTAAGACTCACTGGGACCTGTGTTCCTACGGGGCCCCAGCCACCTCCAGCGGAAGCAAGTCCCACCTTGCTCTCCCCTCCCCTGCTGATGCCCACCTTGTGCCCCCAGCATTCGGTGCCATCCTGCAGGGCAGCCTGTTTGGTCTGGCTGGCCTGCTGCCCACCAGCTACACTGCCCCCATCATGAGTGGCCAGGGCCTGGCAGGCTTCTTCGCCTCGGTGGCCATGATCTGCGCCATCGCCAGTAAGTCTTCCTACTATCTGCCCGTTGGCCTAGTTGCTGGGGGAAAGGGACAGGGGTGGGGCTGGTCTTTGATTTCTGCACACCCTCCACCCAGGTGGCTCAGAGCTGTCAGAAAGTGCCTTTGGCTATTTTATCACGGCCTGTGGGGTTATCGTTTTGGCCATCATCTGTTACCTAGGCCTGCCCCGACTGGTAAGTGAATGGAGAAAGCCAGATTTGGGGTCTGGGGTAGGGGGTCCAGGGCTTCAGACCAATGGTGTTCTGAGACCCAGACCTGGGCGAGGCAGGAATTCTGGAGCTTCCACCACTGAATCCACCTCCACTGTCTCCCTCTCTTGGTAGGAATTCTACCGCTACTACCAGCAGCTCAAGCTTGAAGGGCCTGGAGAGCAGGAGACCAAGTTGGATCTCATTAGTAAAGGTCAGAATAGCCCACAGAAGCTGGGGTGGAGGGTGGCCTGCCCTGGAGGGAGCAGCATGGGCACAGAGGGCAAGAATGAGTATACTGTATTTGCTGGCAGTGACAAGCCAGAGGCCAGATGTCACCAGGGCTGGGATGAGGAAAACTACGGGAAATAAAAACTGGGAAAAATAAAGGCGGGGGGGG